GTTTAACGAAAAATTTTCTCTGAACAAAAAGTGCTTAATTTTGATCAAAGAATATGTGTGAATTTTTTCAGATTTTTTCGGACCATTTTTGGATTTTTGGAAATATTGACGAACGCCAAAAATCCAAAAATGGTCCGAAAAAATCTGAAAAAATTCACACATATTCTTTGATCAAAATTAAGCACTTTTTGTTCAGAGAAAATTTTTCGTTAAACCCTTCTTATGGGAGAAAAAAAATCGCAAAGCTTTTCATTTCCACATTAGTATTTATTTGCCTCGTGCTACTCCGAGCTGAAAATTTTTGATTTCAGCACCCATGTTGTGCACAGACCTGCAAAAATATACCATCTTACAGTTTTTCACTCGGCTCCTGAGATATATTTTATTTTATTCTTTTTATTCGAAATATTTAAAAAAGGGGTACACCCTAAAATATATACAAAGCTCGTTTCGCGCGACGAAAACTCCGTTCAACATCCTTCTACATGTAATCTCGATATCGGCCGCGTGGTACTTAAAGGATACGTACAGAGAGGAAACAATAGGCCCACCGGTAGGTACCATATCGTGTGTGTCTTGTAGCATGTATACAATCGCGAGCTCATATAATATAGGTATAGGCAAGGCCTCGATTTGCTCGAGTTAGAAAAAGGTCAAATCCGCCCAAGACTTTTTATATTATCTGTATCTACTACTACTACTACTGCCACTAAGGTATCGATCGCGTATACGTATACATGCAGCTTTTTAATGCGTATTATGATAATGAGTTTATCGCCGATCGCGACTGGTCGCGCGCGCGCCAGCCAGACGGCCGAGGGAGAAGAAACAATGCTTTATAACGCGCCGATCGATCGATGTGTTTATAAATTGTGTATATACCTCGTATACGTATATTATATATGAGATACTGCAGCTGCTGCTGCTACAGAGATGAGTTTATTTCGCGCTTGCGTCACGACCTTACGATCGTGATGATGAATATCTGCGTCGATGCCCCCGTATTATAAAAACATTTTTTTTTCCCGTTCGTCATCTTTTACACGAATGTATTATTCGCTTTATACATCTGGTTTCCTATCGACGATTTTTTTCCCTCCAGCTACGTATCGATATAAAGAACACACGTTCTTGATATACATATCGCGCCTCGAGGAGCTGCATATCGGCATTACGTGCATATCGTAAGCTTGACGCGACCGATCATCATCGAGCTTATTAAGCTGCACGTCGAGCGAAAAGTTGTTTCAAGCCATGATCGGGCTCGTGAGCTTTCAGCACTGCAAAAAAGTCGAGCGGAAGCCAAAATCATACATATATACACGTATACGTACGATATATCCGCCTCGCTTTCACGCGCGAGCATTTGAAAAGCGAATATAAGAGCGATGCACGGCATCATGATGTTTGCGATCGTGTGCGGCGCACACACGCGAATAATTTTATTATATAGCATATATGTAAACACTCATTCACGGCCGCTTCTCATTGTCTCTCTCTCGCGCGGGCTGCGGAAGTTTCCCACATACTCTTTTTTTCCTTCGCGTACTTCTTTCAATCTCCCGTCGAGCGCCGCACGTGAGATTTCAAACCGTGAGCTGGGCTGCACTGCTACGCCTTTCTTATACTCACGGAGTTCAAATATTGTACCAGAAAGAGCGGCGCAATTTGTTTATATTAAATTTATACCGCGCGTCGTGTGGCGAGTCAACGAGACGTCGTTTTTCTTACGTAAACGTGACGCGCGGTGCCGCGCGGCTTGGTGGCCTCATGGCGAGCGCGCAGGACAAAATTTCGAGTTATTACGCGTATAAAAAACTTTTATCTTCCGCGGGGCACCACCGTGTGCAGGCTTACTTTGAGAGCGAGAGAGAGCTGATACGATCTGTAGCAGCATTATTATACACATTGCAGTTTGATTAACGAGAAACTTGGGGCTGGTGCGCTTTTTGCTTTATCATTTGCGTGTGCGGGGCTCTACATATTGCTCACACACACACACATTTAAATTATGTCATTGCGTATGTGTAATGTACCACACTAGAGTCTCCGAGACTATCTAAGCTAAAAGTAATTGCGTATACCTCGCGGCTCGAGGGTACGACGCGAGCACACGCGCACTAGTAGTAGTAGATAACGATATATGCTTTCGTTTATATGCGCGGTACTGCATGCGTTTCTCGACTCTCGGTGCGGTATATTAGAAGGCGGTAACCGATTTTTACGAGCTGGCTTCGAGGAGTTTTGATGAAGCACTTTTTGCATCGCCCGCTGCTGCTGCTGCTGCTGCTGCCGATCGACGCGACTCGAAGCTTGCAACTTGCGCGTAAAATAAAAATTCATAGTCGTGACCTACGATAAGTCTCTTTTTATGCATAAAAATGTCGATGCTTAAATGCATAAAACTGCGCGCCGAACGAACGAAAGAGGATGCGTCGTCGTCGTTGGGTTTTTTTCTCTTACGGTGAAATGCGCGTCGTTTTGACATATTCCAGTACCGAGTGTACACAATGTATACACATACACATGAGACTTTCATAGAGTCAAGGAAAATTGCTTGAGCTATTGTTCCACGTCGCAGAGATGTCTTTGTCGCGCGCGCGTAGAGCAGGATAACATCTCTCTTTTCTCTTTTTTCTTTCTCGCTCTCTTATATAGCCCGAGCTTTAATATATCTGTACGTACGTAGTACGACAGAATCGTCGAGGTTACCTTTTTTTTCTCTCTGTCTCTCTGCCAAATGACGCGAGGTGTACGTACAAGATTTTACGCGTGTTGCAAAGTTGACATACACGGCGGGGCTCTCGGTACGGTTACAACTTGACGTCGGTACAGCAATTTTTATAGCCGCGCTTGCCGCTGCTGCTACTTATATTATTTCGTCTATATATCCTAGATTTAAACCCGAGTGCGTAAAAGTCGAAATTTAATTCGACCGCAATGAAATGCGAGGAAAACATTCGTATAAAAAAAAACTGTTTACATTTTCATTAGTTTTTTTTTTCAAGCGCTTAATTCACATCCGTAATGATACAACTAGAGAATCGCTCGAATAATTTTCATTCTTTCTCTCTCTATCTCGCCGGTGGTTTTCATTAATTGAATTTTAATAACAACGTTGTCGGCAGGAATTGAAAACAAGTAGTTTGTTTAAGTTTCCCACATTCGTAGTAGCGGTGGTAGACATCAATTAACAACTATACTATGTTGGCAAAACAATTCAATATCATCTCTCTGTCTGTCTCTCGGCTACTTTCACTCACTCTCTCACTCGCGCACGCGCGCGAATCGCAAGAACCTACACACACACACACACGAGGCACAAATTGCATATCCGAGCTTTTAGCTCTTCTCGAATGGGTGTTACAAAATTCGACAAAGACCTTTGGAGAACGCGGGCCGTGAAAATTCGCTCCCCCCGCGCGTTCGTTTATATCGTGTTTATATATTATATACATGGTATAGTCTCTGATATTTTACTCGAGATAAATCACAAGCTCTCGCAGAGAGGCCACGTCGAGCCCTTTTGCGCAATACCACGATTTTCATCTCTCTCTCTCTCTCTCTCTCGGGAGAGGCCTATGTTACTAGCCTCGTGTATATATAGAAACGTGATTTGTCGGACTTTTAATTAGGAAATTGTGGAAAAGATATACGCCTGTATAGTAGTAGAGAACCGCCTGGAGGAAAAATACGTATTTTCGATCGATCGATAGAATATTACGTCCGCCTCTCGCTGTCTACGACGCGTTGAAAAGCTAATACGTCTGTGTTTCAAGTTTTTTTTTTTCCCTCTTCTTCGTTCGTTTTTTCTTTTCTCGCTTCTTTCGATTCGACGCGCGCGCAGATAAAGTCGTTGTGCAGGTTGTGCCGTGTATTTCGCAATCGTTAATAAACCGACGCGCCGATTATACACATTTGTACGCGTTCGTAATAAAATAATTAAGCTTCGTGTATTATATACAGTATACAACAGCAGGCTCGAACTTTCATCCTGTTATTTTCGTATAGTTATTTTTTTTTCTATTTTTATCTCTTATAAACGGCATAGACTCCGCTAATGCTGCCGCGGCGAACAATTGCTTATTTTCAAGAGCAAACACAAACGAGCAGCGGCAGCGGCAGTTCTCTCTCATTGTCTTTGCCCGATTTTCATGGATCTTATCGCGCGCGGCGCGCATAGCACACGCCGCATCCGACTATTAGCATCAATCACAATTACCTACACTGCACGAGTTCTCTCTCTCTCTCACTTGCCTAGCGCAGTCGCATAATATTAACGCGCGTGCCAATTTTTGTGCAGTTTTGTAAATTATATAAAAGCGCGAGTCTTTTTTGCCACTGTGTATAGTTATAAACGTTCGAAAACCTGCTTCGTTACGCGTACATACGCTATACTGCGCTTTTTGTTTGCTAATTTTTTTCGTAATTTACCCCGAACGTTAGAGATTATTCTTAGAATAATTATATAGCGCGCGTTTGCATTTTCATTCGCGCGTCTATTTTCCGAAGAAGCATAGAAGTAGTGGAAGAAGAAGAAAAAAAAGGAAGCCAATCGTACTACGATCTGCATATAGACACATTGTTTTTTTTTCTTCTGTTCGCGGCTTAACTAAAACAATGCGCTTAAATTAAAACGAAGGCGCAGCCCACTAGCCTTTGCCTTGTGCATATACGCATGCACATAAATTACAATCAATCCAGTTTCAAACGTTTTCCAAGCCGGCCGCCGCCGCCGCGTTTTTGCATTGCCCTCGACGCCGCTGCTGTTGTGTTGCAGCTGAGCATTTTTCCTCAAACCTAGCGGTGCGCAGTTATTTTTCCATAAATCAGCGCTTCATAACGAAGAGTACGAAACGGACGAAAGAGAGAAAAAAAAAAATAACTACACGGTATGTAACAACAAAAAAAAAACTACGAGAACAGCAACATCTCGTGTATAATACGATAAATATAATAAACACGTGACACTGCAGCGGAGGAGAAGGAGGATAACATACCTTGCGTGTATATATAAGCGATGCGTCGAACGCCTCGTGTTCGTTGCAGTATTACAAGGAAGAAGAGGCAGAAGAAGAAGAAGAGACGAGAAATTCTCTAGCAGATGAAAAATCGTCCTTTTCCCACTGTTACTGCTGCTGCTGTCTAGCTCACTGTCGGCTGCTCGTAAATGCACTCAACAACAATGTGTTTCGCTGCTCTCGAGCCAATGTAAAATATGCGCGAGTAGAAGAAGAGGTGCTCGTTGTCATTCGCGGAATCGATCTTCCGGGCGCGCAAAAATTTATCGCTTTTCTATATCAGTTCTTCCGTCGAGATCATGTATTATTACTCCTTTTTTTTTATGTGTGCACTAGAGTTCTTGATGATATTTCCTCACTTCATGATATTAATTTTTTATCAGAACGTAGCACTTTGTCGTGAATAAGAAACGAAGATAAAAATAAAAAGCACCTGTCACCTCAATCTCTTCTCTTTCTCTTCATTCCTTTGACGATCATCTGTCACGTAGAAGTTGAGGTCAGATGGCAAAGAAAAACAAACAAACAAACGAAATAAAAACCAAAACAACAACAAACAGCGAACAGCCACGTCGGAAACTGCAGCAATAAACAAAAGTGTACTGCAGGCGCACACAACAACACACGGGAGAGAGAGAAAACACGTCCGCTTGGTAGGACTCGCGCGAATCGAGTGAAGGTAGACTCGGTGTACCGGAGTCAGGTATATCTCTCCTGCACACGCCGCGCGTTGTATGCTATGTACTACCTCTCTCGGAGTTGGCGCGCGCCGTCGAATCCCCACTTCTTCTCTCTCTCTCTCTCTCTCTCTCGGCGGATCGAACTATATGGTGCTTTACAGCTCGATTTCCTCTCCGCTGCTGCTGCCGCTGAGTGCGTATAGCAGTGTATATAGTATATAGTTGTTGCGGTTCTCTTTCTTTTTCGCGATAATGTAGCGCTTTCTCGGGACGATTTTATAAGTCGCTGCGAGGCTTTTCTCGAATTATCATTTTTGTTTTTGTTTCGTTTTTCGTTTTCTGTATAGCCGAGATTAATTTCCTTTAAACGAACAAACGAGGCGCGGTGGCTATTTCGATCGCGAATTTTAACGATAAATAAATACATTATAAAGCTTATCGACTTTCCGATCAATCTCAATCGAGTTTTCGCGCCTACGCTTAGCGAGACGAAAATAAAGTTTCTTCATCAAAATTTATATCCGCAACCCAAAGTGTCAATACTGCTCCGATTATTAAGCGGGGGTGAATTTACAGATACTTATTGAACTCGTTGGATTTTATAATCGTTGCTGGCCTGCGGTCTGGTTCTATTTTAGAGACAGAGAGCTTTTAATTCACCTAAAAATATGTATAAATTGTTAACCCGTGCCGGATAGAGGAGAGTCAAAATTTCTTTACGAATTAAAAATTACTCGAGCAACGAAGATTTATTATTCTTATACTAGAAAATTTGAATGCGAGACGGCCGAAAATATTCTTATATACGGAAGAATATCCATGATATAATGTAGTTTCCTCGGTCAAGCGTCCTGCACCATTATAAATTCATAAGATGAAGCAACGTTTAGTGCCTCGCCTATCATGGAGCTTTTCTCTCCCCCGGCGGCAAAAGTTTCTTATACCGGCAAAAGTGTATAGTTTTAAGTCTCTACATTTCCGAAAAAGGGACGAGAGCCGCTGCACAGAAGTTGAAGAGAACGAAAATTCATTTACACACACTTATGCACACTTCATAACTCCTGTCCGTATAATATAAATTTTCAACCCGCAGCTCTGCTCTAAATTGAATTTTGCATTATACAGCCCAGGCCCGTGTGCAGTTGTAAGCGTATCATTTTTGACTCGCCGCGTGCGCGTTTGGCTCTTCTCCGTACTACACTCGTGACGAGCTTTATATTATATACCTGTATATACATGGACAGCGGTGCGCATCGTCGAACAATGAGGATAATATCGAGAATTATACTTTATACACAATCGTATATATATAACACAGCTGCGAGAGGGGCCACCGACACACGAACGCGCGCGCGCGCGACCACTTTAATTTCAATTCTTTTGTTTGATCGTCACTCGGTTTGCCTGATTTTCCTCGACGTTTACATTACACTATACATATATTATATGTACTTTTTCAGCCGCCTACGCTGTACTCTTGAGAAAAGTCTCCGCATACACACATCGCTAATATGTACGTGCACGCGAGTCAAAAAGCCTTTCTCCCCGAAAAAAAGGCGAGAGAGAGAGAGACGCATATATACACGTTCGCGGTACACTTATAAACTCTTTTGCGCAAGAGACCTTTGAGTCGAGAAGTGTGCGCTGCGGCGGCATCTTGCCTCGTCATTTCCACTTGTCTGTGCGTGTGTGCATGGCCGTGTGCACCGACGAGAGCACATGATAAATAACGCGTGTGACGATTTTCGAGAAAAGTTTGACCGGTTTTCATCGGGACGATTTATTATTCGGGTGGTAAGTAGACTCGTTACTACTACCGCGGGTGCATTATTACACGTATTATAAGCCCAGACGGTCAACCAGTTCGTCGTCCGCGGCGTTCGCTTAAGGCTCATGAAAGAGAGCTTTTTTACTGACACCTTGAGAATATTCGAAACGAGATTCCTCTTCTTTCACTTTTTTTTTCATTAAAAATGAAGAACTAGACTTCGGCGCGAGAATCCAATTTTTTACATGCTACGCATAGCTACACACTTTTACTCGTACGATGTGAATATTAGTACGCTCACGTATTTTCGTTCAGTAGGCCAAAATATCATTACGACTCGGGGGGATGCGGTGTGGACGCGCGGTGGCAGCGGTGCGCGCATGTGGTGCGACTGACGAAATTTTCCTAATGCGCGCGCCGTGCTGGTGCACCGGTGCGCACGAGCGAAATAACTTAAAAGTTTGCATTAAAGTAATGCACTCGCGTTAAGAAATCACACGTGTACATACTGCTACTACTACTGCTGCTGCTGTATATCAAGCCGTCCAATTTTCGCGCGCTACTATATGTAATAATGTAACGCAAGGAAAGTAAGACACGGCACACCGGGTGCGAGCGATAGAGTTGGAAATTAGAAAAAAAAAACAAGAAAAACGATATAAAAATTCAATCATCTTACGCTTAAAAAAAAAAGCACATAAAGTCCAATCAAGCTACCGTAATATTAAACTCACTTATACCACTTGGGCTCTCTCGTATCAGATACGAGTCGCGCACGCGGCCAATTACACGTACGCGCGGGTATAAACCTTTCTTTCTCCCTTCTCTCGTACCTATGCACTCTGCAGCAGCACATACTCACACGTAATAACGATGATGGTTCTCTTTCCTGCGCTCGTTGCGGCCTCGTGTCCACGCGATATAATAACGATGTCCATGCTTTTCATTTCATTTTCTGGGTCGTATCTCTCTCTTACTCTAAAAAAATCATCGGCGAATATAATAAAGCTCAAAGCTACAACAGAGTTTCGTACTCTTATCGTTTCTGCGAGATCGCCAAGCCAAAAGAGCTGCTTCCTCGCTGGAGAGCAACCGGCGAATAAACACACACACACACACACCTGGTATAATAATCCCGCGCACAACAGGGGCTCCGCGCGGCGCGAGGATCGTTTTAGGCCTCACGTTTTTCATCATCCTATATGGCGCTCAATGAAATCAGGTTACTCGCCCGCGCGCCGCGAGATGTGTCCTGTGCGCCGCACTAGAGTCTAGAGTTACGAAACGTTTTTTTCCCCGTCTATAGCTCACTCTTTCCTTACTCTCTATCGTGTTTCGCACCTTATTTTTTCGTGTATATGTACGCGGTGCGCGCGCGATCGTGACTGTTTTCCCCGATCGCAATAGAAGCCAGAAAGAGAGAGAAAATGGTTCGTTCTGTTGAAATGTACGCGTGTTTTCTGTTTTATATATATGTATCGCGTTTGGCAGCTGTGGAAACCATTGCTTTACGAGCTGCTCGCGGTACATATAGGAGGAAGACAAAAATTGTGCTCTTTACATTATATACATCGTAGGGAGAGCTTTCGAAAGACAAAAAACAAAAAAGGAAGAAAAGATATAACGAAAAAAAAAAAAAAAAGATTCGCGTACACGCGAGAAAGTGTATGTGTCAATATACACACGGTCGCATTTATGTGTGGTACCCGTCGACGAGAGAGTCGAGGCGCTGAAATGTTTGATGGGTTTCGAGCGCGACAACAGCCGATGGCCTCCTTTGTTTTACAGCGACAGCGACACAGCTGTATACGATTCTTATTTTATTCGCACGCCACATAGAGTATAACACGCGCGCGGCTTGTCACTCTGCCGCATAGTTGAGATAAACCAAGCTAAAGAGAGAGTGAGTGAGCGCGAGATGACTTCCGTCTTCCGCGGGCGGAGCTGAAAGGTGCGTGCGTGTATACGCGAGCAAATGTCAAATTGCGAATGCGGAAAATTGAAACCTACGTACGAAAGAGGGGAGGGGGAATTTTACGCGATCGAAAGTGCTATTGCAATCGACGATATAATATATACGATGAGGTCAGGAATGACTTTTGCGGATGTTTTCTATGTAGAGAGCATCAAAAATTGAAAACATCCAAGAGTCCTTTGACGTAGTCGTTTCTGTAAAAGCTCGCCGTCGTACTACCCGTTCAATTAACATGTATAATTTTGCGCCTCGATGCTCGCGAGCTCCTTATTTACATACAAGTTTATGCATTCATCGGTCTGTAGCTTCTATTATAGCAACAGATGACTGCCAAATTCAATTTGACTGCGACGCCGCCGCGTCTCGCTCAGTAGTCGTGTTTTATCGAATCGTTGACCGAGCTTGCAGCAGTAGCAGCAGCACCGGCGATGTATGTATTATTTATATAAGCCGCGATCGGTCGCGGAAACAAAAGGCGCGCAGCGCGATCGCTACTTTATTATACTTTGAAATCACTCGCGCGTTTTATCATATAATTCTGACGCGGGTCTATACGTTCAATATATATGTGAAACGCGCTCTTCAAAGTCGCGAATCGTGTTCGTGTGTTCGAAGTTTTGCAAAATATTATACTCGAGAGCTGTCATGTTTGTTTACATCATTGCCGAGAGGCGCATGATATTATTGAATGCATGAGCGATTCCACGATTTAAACTGTCAAATTTTTGGCTAAAAACAGATCCACGAAGGCATTATAATTCTTGGAGGTACGCAGGAAGTTGAAAGAATTTGTGAACAATCAAAATTTCAATATGTATACTTTGATCATGTCCATTTATATGTTTTAAAAAATTTAAGAGGAAAACAAGTCCTTTAATAGAAATGAACACAATTTTTTCGATTATAATGTACCAAAAAGCCTTTGATAATTCATAGCTAGATTCATCACAATGATTTTTTTATGAGAACGCATCAGCCGATAATATTAGTTCTCTATGTTTTATTCTTTCTTCAAGAATACTTATGAAAATTCCCAGTCACACAGTAAAAGACGATAGGTATAGAAAATTTATTTTTATCGGCTCACTGTTCAGTTGTAACATGACGAAATTTCAACAAATAAATACGTATCTCAAAACTCAATTGTAAACAATATAATCATAAACAATTCTGAGATCGTCCCTTGATAACTGAATATTCATACTTACAAATGAATCAGTACGAGTATCAGTACGTCGAAATAAGACATAATATCAGAGAATAGATTGTACTCCTTAAATTTTCGTGG